ATAAGCTTTCTGATTGTATGAACATCGATATTAACTATCTTCCCACTGTATTAAAGAGGTTCTCTCACAGAACACACTCCATTCTAAAATTTGATACCTTGAGTATGAACATACTATTCAGACCCTAAATTGATTTTATGGTGAATTCTACGGTACCTAGAGTGAAATTTGGGGTACCACATACCTTAAGTATGAAAAATACTATTCAGACCCTAAATTGACTGATGTTTCAGACATGATACTAAAAATCAAAATCTAGGTCTTAATCTCTATATCTTATACCCCAAGATCAGTTTAATTAGAAATAATAATCGAGGGTTATGATTTGTCCAAATATAGGGGAAAATGAATGCAATATCTTAAGGTTTATAGTTTATGATTCAAATAATTAGGACCTAGGGTTTACTCATTAGGATACAGTATCATGCACAAAAATCATGCTAGTTCGAGGTCTATATAGTGTTTTCATACTCAAGATATGTGGTATCCCGCATGTCACACGAGGCACCGCAGAAGCAACCTTATGTTTATATATTTTATATTAAAAAAGAGAAGAAACAACGTATTACAAACAATTTTTTTTTTCCAAGTAATGTCAAGAGAGAACCTATACAATCTACCAAGACCCTGCCCAACCCATTACATTAGTGAAGCCAACCAACAAAGTCAAAGGCGCACAACTCTAAAGGGGAGAGTAACAGGGCTTTCAGCGCCACTCTATGGGCAGCCCTGTTAGCAGTCCGAGGAACTGCCCTAAACTCTAAAGAAACAGAGACAGAAGACAGGAGAAGGAAGCAATCCCGAAGCACCGAACCTCCAAAGGTGTCTAAGAGAGCACCTTGACGAAGCTGACGAATCACCACCTCTGAATCACCTTCTATGATGACCCGAGGCAGAGATTTGGACACCAGAAGGAATATGGCGTCTCTAGCAGCTAGGAGTTCCGCAAGGTAGGGATCACCAATACCGGGGTGAAGAAATCCTATTGCCAGAGCCACATGCCCGTCTGAACATCGCACCACTAGACCAGACGAGCACCCAGAAGGACGAATAGCAGCACCAAAGTTGATCTTCAGAAAACCATCAGGAGGAGGGGACCAAGACGAGCGGCGAGAGCAGGAAGGCTGGGGCGGAGGAGCAGGGACCAAAGGCAGGGAGGAAGACAGATCACGAACTTGGAAAAAACACTGACGAGCGAGAGACTGGGCATGAGGCTGGATATGCTCAAAGACCACCTTATTTCTAGACTTCCAGATCCTCCATAATACACAAACGTATAGGAGAATATGAGTTTGGGGGTGCTCAGAAAGCATAACATGTCGCCACCAGAGACTGAAGTTCACAGTCGGGGCCGAGGAAATGAAATCATTTAGACCCATGAGCGACCACAATCTTGTGGCCAAGGGACATTTGAAGAACAGATGTTCAAGACTTTCCGGGCTTCTCCAGCAAACTGGGCAACGACTGCCCAGTTTGAGACACTGCCAGATGAAGAATCTGAGTTTTTGAGGAGTCTCGATGACCCATGTCTTTTCCAAATGGGAGTATCAATAATATGAGCCAATGATTTTCTATTTGGAATTAATGTCAATGTAGCTAACTAAGAACTTAAATGAGTCATTAGCCAATTATGGGTTTTATTGTGCTAACGTGGACATACAATTAAAGGCAAGTAGTCCCACCACCATCGATGTCTTACCTGCAAAAAATCTGCCAATTCATGCTGCCTAGATGGTAAGGACTAAAGAGGCTCTCTTTCCTCTATCATCATGAATCCTGCAGTAATCAGAGGGGATGATCAATAAAAGATTAATTTCTATTTAAATGATTCCTAATAATTCTCACCCCAAAATTGGGTTTTGAAACGGTCAATTTAAGACCAATTAGCGCCATTAAAAGGCCGCTTTAATGACTCACTAGTCATTGATAACGTCTCATCGGAAACATTCCAGAGTTGAGGCCGGCCGCTCACCGGCAAGGGATCCATCAACGATTTCTGATCGCCGCCTTGGCATAAGAACAACGCCATCGGGCAGCGTTACCGACAGTTATCGTGCAGGCTCACGCTGGAAAAAACGTCGGCTCCTGGGAGGACGGCCTTCACGGCGTACTGGGTGGGCATCAACCCTGACATGAAGTTCGATCGCAAGCTGTCGCTCGCCTTGTTCGTTGTTACTTGTTATCTTCCCATCTCTCTCGGCTCCGATCCGCGGTAGAGTTTTGCGGCCGCGAATAAAACCTTCCTCCATTTATCAGACAGCCATAGCGAAAGCCGATCATTCGCTGGAAGCCGGGCCGGAGGCGCCTCACAGTGGCCTGATTTCGATCTCAAGATCAAAACAAATGCGACCAGCGGAGGTAATTGGCTATCGTCAATCAAGAGATGCACAAAATTGAACGATGCGTGCGAGCTCCTCTGATGCCTAAACCGAGAACCGCACCCACGGAATGTGCCACAAAACCAAGATTCTGACCTCGGTATAGCAATTCCGTCAACCGCTCTCGCCGTCCGGCATCACCCCAAGACGACAATTCCTCCCTGCAAGCCTTTTCTTTCATAAACCAATCATCTTCATGCAAGCTTTGTGTTTAAGGGGGAGCATGCTTAAAGATAATGATGATGATCTATAGTGTTTTTGTGAGAATGCTTAAAGATAATTTCCTCCAATCACTTTAAGAAGTTTTGTGGTTTGGTGGTGCGGACGGATCATAAAAAAACTGAAGTTAGTATGCATATGAAGTATCACAGTTGATATGATTTGAATAAGATTTTTTGCCGTCGACTTGAGAACATTGTAATATGTATATGCTCAACTATAGTGAAACTTGCTCTCTCTCATGTCCGTGGACTAGCTAACACACATTGTTTTGGCGACCCACGTGAATCTACGTGTTGTTTGCTTTCTTGCATTGTCGATTATCCTCATCCGTTCCAACAATCACATTGCTTTGTTTCTAATATTAATTTGAAGGTTTACTATCAACGTATTACAAACAATTTACTAAAAGGATTTTTCTTAATTAGAAATTAAAGTACTATTATTAATATTATTATAAGGTGGAGGATCCCGTACAAAATCCTGAAATTTTGTATTTTTACAAAATCTAATAAAATGGTTGTAATTTGATAGAAAAAGATCTAATGATCCATATCAGGGGTAGAGGAAATAAGGAATTTTGGGGAGTTTACTGGATTTTTTATGGACAGATGTAGATTCCTAGGCGTTTGTTGATGGACTTTTCAAATCTCATATGAAAATTTAACGGACGATAGCTCTTTCTTTTTAAATTGATTTTCAAAAGTTTTGCATAGAAATATCAGAATTTTTGTGTTCTAGAAGATGATATCCATTTTGATATTTTTGGAGCAAAAAATATTTAGTTTATCATTCCATTGTCATATCAGATATCACGATATTAACACTAACAATGGTATGATATCATGGTGGTGTGATGTTGGTAAGATTGATATGATGTTGGTAAGATAGTTGATAAAATAGTAATGTGATATTGATATGATGTTGGTAAGATAGTAATATGATGTTGGTATGAGCTCTTATGTTTGACAAAATAATTTGATGAAATCATATCACTGTCATATCATGATATTATCACTATGTTAACATGATATGACACATATATGATGTTGGTATAACAATGATATGATGTCGGTATGAGGTCTTATGCTTGACAAAACGTAACAAAATGGATACCAATATTTATATCTTATTGAATGCGCTTTTAATTTTTTTTTTGGGTAAATACAATTTAATATCCAAACCTTTCATTTTAAACAATATAATAGCCAAACCTTTTCGAAAACAATCTAATATCCAAATCGTCAACTTTCCGTTCGTTTAACCGTTAGTTGACACTTCAAAAAGCTTTGTTTAGGGGAAATTGTCACATTACAACTTTGTTTTCTTGTTTTGGCATTGCAGATGACTGAATATTTAGATATTCTATACCATCATGGTGGAGTCATGGACTTCTCGGGTTCGAAACTACGATATGTTGGTGGTTTTTTAGAGAAGATATCGATGGATATTGATGAAGTGTCGTACTTCGAACTTTTTTGAAGTGTCAACTAACAGTCAAACAGACAGAAAGTTGACGATTTGGATATTAGATTGTTTTCGAAAAAGTTTGGATATTATATAGTTTAAAATAAAATGTTTGGATATTAAATTGTATTTACCCTAAGATTTATTATTAAACCTCTATCAATTATTCGAGTTATTGATACTAAATGGTTATTGACAAAAAACACCACTCGAAAGTGAAAGACTACGTAAATAAAAATAATTATTTGGTACACAAATAGTGATATTCTTGATAGTTTTGTCTACTAATGTATTTTAATTTACAAAAAAGTTTTAAATATAAGATTACATCACGATTAATTAAAAAAGTCAACAAAAACTATTTTATCGTGTGTATTTTTTTCCTAAGTGAAACCATTTTAGACGAAATATTGACTACACCCCTGCCCTCAACCTTTTTCTGATGGGGTGTGTCAGTTTCAATTTATGTGCTTGGATTCGGTCTTTGTGGCAATTTTATAGATCTAATGAAATCTCGTGAAAATGAATACCTCTTGGGAAAAAAGTATTAGTCGATGTTCAATTTAGAAAACGAAATTTTTAGTCTAAACAAACTAAAACCTGAGAGACTACTAGAAAATTATCCAAAGGCACCCTAATGTAAGAAATGAATAATTTACGGAATTTAATCGTTGAAATTCGGGATGGAATTAGGTGCTAACCCTTATAGGGGGTTAGCACCGTGATAACTAGCAAAAAACGCTACTAAAAACAACGAAATCACTACGGATTATTATAAAATCAATACAACATCTAAGCTAAATCACTACTAACCCTTGGTTAGGACGGTGCTAACTCTTGTACAATTAGCACCGTAACCAGTCCCTTGAAATGCATGATTCAGGGGCTCAAATAACAGCATACTCAATTATAAATTGTTTCTCATCAAATACCATTTAGCCTTTTGACTCCATCTTCACCTATCTTGCCGTATCGGCGGATTGGATCCGTTGAAGCATTTATCGGTTACATATTGATATGATAGATTTTACACGGTTCTGCAAGTATAGCTGTCTCATGTTGTGAACCATGAGTCTCACTAGTTTGACTTGAATTAACGTTCAAATTTCGTTTCATATAGCTGTCTCATGTTGTGAACCATTTTATATATGGCATCTCTTCAACTGCTGCTGCATCTTCAACCTACAAACCTGCAACTCATTTATTTGCCCTTTCATAGCTTCGACTTCCTTCTTCATCATCCTGATCTCATTTCGTGGCGAATATAGCCATCCTTTCTCCATGTCGCAGTTGCCAATCTTCAAACTGGCTTGTCTCTTTGCCCTATGCTGGTAACTACTTCCTCCACAAGTTATCGACCTTGTCATCTTCACTTGCTCAGCCATAATGATCATCGCCGTCTGATGCCATGGCAACCTATCATTCTTTATCGCGTGCTTCTGAGCTTCCTGCGACAGCTTGTGGTAGTCCATGGCCCTGCATATACCTGTTCTTTCTTCCTCTGACAGCTTAGGATGTACCTGCAATACCCGATTGTAAACAATCGAGTTTTTTTAATATGTAAAACCGAATGGTATATAGTCGAATGCAAGAATTGCTCCACAGCCGTAGCTTTCCTGCGATCATCAGCTGGTTCTCTTGCAAGGTATGAAGAAGGGGTTAGTTTGTTTTCTGTTACCTTGAGGTAGAAGTCAATGGCGCGGTAGAGGTTATCGTGGCAAATCCTCGCGGAATCTGGCAAGGCTTCTGCCACTGAAAGGAAGCTCTTCACAGGAAGTCTACTGTCTCTAGAAACAACTGTCAGATACTCATCAATCAGCCTCCCAACAACAAGCAATGTCGCTGCTGGATTTCTTTTCGCACAAGAAACATAGGTCTCCAAAACTTTTGCCACAATTCCCACATCATAGAGAGTAGTACTTCTATTGGTAGATTTCTGAACCAAGAGATCTGAAACCCTACAGACCTCCAGCTTATCAGCAACTCTTTCTTCTACCCCAGCCAATAACTCACTATCTGCCCTCACGGAGTTCCCAAACTTGAGAAGGTGAAGCAAGAAGTTGCAAGGAAGGGAGCTTTCTTGCTCAGGAGGTAACCTTATGATCAGATTTTCTATTCCAGATCTGAGGATATGAAGCTCTTTGGCCCAAGAGGAAACGGTTTCTTCGCAGCTTTTGAAGATGGTGAAGATGTCTTTCCACGATGAAGATAATAGCAGCAAGTAAGTTAGAAAGGTTTCGGTCTTGGAGATCAGGTTGCCTTGTTCCATCTCATTGTTCATTTCCAGGAATTTTGCAGCAGAGTAGATGGGTGCGATGTTGGTTGGGGTTAGATCGATCTTCCATCCATAGCAGAACTTCAGTATGAGCTCGAAAGTTTCAGCCCCACCGGGGAGACTGTGTAGAAGGATGGTGGAGATGGAATTTTGCAGATTGTTGTTTCTTTCCTGGAACACTAATCTGTTCAAATATGCACTTCTGGACACCATAGCAAGCTGAGAAACAGAGAAAAGTACTCATTATTTGTTCTTGGACCTCATGATTGTTATAAAATTGCCTTACCTTGTGAACATGGAAGTTGGAATCTCCAACTTGAATGATCAAATCAGTTTCAGCTACCTTTGCCCTAACAATCCTGCAATCGAAAAAATCAATCTGAAGTTAGTGATACACAACTCTCATAATAGCTCTACGGAATTCGAATAGATTCAAAAACCAGAAACACAGAAACTGACTCGTACCAAGTCATGTTTATTCTGTCAATAGCTTCAGCAACCACATTCACTTCCACAGGAAAAATCACACACTTGTTATGCTTCCTGCCATGGATTGAACAGCCTCCGGAGTTTCCTCTCTCAAGAAATCTGTTTTTCATTATTTCTTTGTTTGACAGAACCAAAATTTAGATATTTCAAGAGTTTGCTTGCTGAAAACACATAGAACACACCAGATTAAGTAGCTTCATTGGTTTCACTAGTTCACACCATTAAGAAGGTTGGTTGGCTTTCACTCTCTAGGCAAAAAAGTTTCCACCTTTCTCTGTCAGTATAGCTAGCTGTGCCATAAAAACCCTTCAAGCCCCAGGAACAATCATGTCAGAAGCCATCCCCACATACAAAAGGAATTTTGTCACTGGAAGTGAACTGTTTTCTAGTAATGAGCTTCCCACCAAAAGGTCATTGTCTTTCCTTTTCATATATATCCATTCTCGATCTTTCATGAAATCGCGAAGCACCAAATAAGGACCAATTGGAGAGGAATAGGCAAGTATAAGTAGTTCTTGTGAAATTTGCCTTCCTAGATATTTAGTAGCACCTAACACTGCAGCTGCAAGATATTTAGTTGCCTTCCTAGAGAATCAGAATAGGCTAACAGGAACAACTGAACAATCAGCTGCTTAATGTGTTCATTTCCCATAAGGGTTTACCAAAATTCTTGCATTTTTCATGAGACTGAAGCGCCTCTGCTTGCTTCACAGCTGGAACATGTCCAAGGTCCGTAAGAGACTGTTCATGCTTCAGCAGCAGGGGCCAAATAGGAGAGAATCGGCAAATTAAGCAGTGATCCTAAATTTGGTATTGAAAATGGCCAGCAACAAGTATCTGGAAAATGAGTTGGGCAGGCCGCATGACTCTCAGAGGTGGTTCAACAACTAACATGAAATCTGATAGACAAGTTGTAGAGGACATATAGTAGTTGTATTACACATGATTCGAAAGAAGCAACAAACTAAAGCAACCAAGTCGAGTGAAGCAGGACTGCAGGACATAGCTGGTTCAGGCGACTACTAAGAGATATTCCTCCAAGTACTAGCAATACTATATTTACACTGTTACACACCTGCAACTAAACATCCAACTACTGTTTTTTTCTTCTTCTTACAGAAACGACGATCATTCACCAGACTTCTCTTGAAGATTTGTTCTCGCCTGCTCCTACTGGTTCCTCACTACACCTCTCTTCTATCATAACATTGCTATAATACAAACGATTGGCAATTGATGCTGAAACATGACAGGAGAAAGAAGGCAATGAGATTCGATTCAGATGATCCATGGCATGGCAGCCTCTATACAGACAATCATATTGGTTGGTCAAATTAAGAAACTTACACTTATTAGCTTCCATGGCATGCATAGTTACTGCTGATCAGAAGATGATTCATGCTGGTGCTGGTGCTGCTGGTCGGACCCTTGCTGCTGCTGCTGTGGCCACATGGGCTGCCCCATATATGGAATCCCTTGCTGAGCATACATCGCTGAAGGATCCATCATCGGCTTCCCCATAATCATCCCGGGAGCACCAACTTGATGTTGTGCCCAGTAAGGCATCCCGTCGCCAGGGCCACCAACAGGCACTGTCCCTCGGGGGATTGAACTAAGAACCTCGTCTTTCAAATCCTCTCTAGGAACAATATCGACCAAGAAATCGAAAATATCAGTCCTCGTGATTGCTGCAGCTATGTCGTTCTTCTGTAGCGTCCTTCTCTTGTTCTCCTCTGTGTGGTTCCACGCTCGCAAGGTGAGCTCGAGTATGAACATCTCGCATGCTCTAGCGAAGACTACTGGAGCCTCGGCAGAGATCATCCTCACGTCCTCATCGGCTTTCATGATTTTTTTAATTCTTGCTAAGGGAAGGCTGTGGTTTTTGAAGTCGGTGACTTTTTCGATCTCTTGGTACTGGTTCGACCAGAAGGACTGGAGTTGTTGTTGGAGCTGTAGCTGCTGTTGGTGGTAGATTTGCTGGTAGGCCATTTGATGTTGAGCGAGCTGAGAGCCTGAGGGTTGAGCTGTGGAAGTAGCTAATTGGCCAGTGGTTTGAGGAACCGGGATTTGGTTCGGGTTGTATGGGTTTGGAGCATAAGACATTTGGCCGGCAGAGCTAGATGGAGGCTGCCCGTGTCCTTGCTGGTCCATTTCCAAATGCAGTGAAGCTCAGTGTGACTGTATGAACAAATGGCCCTGCATTCAGAGAAGATAAGTAAATGAGCAAGTTCTAATCTACATGTAAAGAGATAAGGATCACACAGACCGGATTACATAAATTCAATTTGGTTTCGATTTGGTGGATATTTCTAAAAGTAAAGAAAAAAAGTGGAACGAAGCAAGATAGGACTGAACCAAAGCGGACCAAGCATGCTTTCAATCAAATTCTGGTCTTCAATTTCCCTATGAATTTTTATCCGTTCTATCCCGGACCAGACCATTTACTTCTCTGATCAGACCACAAACTGGTGAAGAACAAGGTCTACCCGTTGTACCACAAACATAACAATAAGCAACCAGAACATCCGATTAGATCAGCTCTACACATGATCATAGGTATAAATATTCACAGAGCAAAGAAAAGACAATCATCCGTTTCCAGTATTAAGTGAGACGACAATTCAAACAACAATCGAACAGTAAATTAAGGATATCATTTACAAACCATTAAGGCGAAATCCTACAAAGTGGAACATCTACAGTTACCATCCGCAGCTCCTTCAGCTTTTAGAACCACTTGAATCTTGACTAACTGAACTCATAGACCTAAGAAAGCAAGCAAGAAGGGAAGCTATCAATCATGCACACCGCTTTCATGTGTTGATTTCAAAAAGCAGATTCAACAACAGCCCATGAGAGCGGTGATCCTGCTTCCAATTCTACTTCTAACATCAGAGGTTCACAGCAATTACAACAAAGCTATTAAAACTAGAAGTTAGCAAAAATACCACTAAAGGAGAGAATTTCCTTCCCAAACAAGGTTAACAGTGAGAGTTGAGTGTTACTACTTCTAAGACTGGCAACAGATCAAACAGTAACTGACAACTCCTGTTACACCCTAACATATCAGTCTGATACAGAGTCCTATCTACCACTTCAATCTAATCGAAACTGCAAGTAAATGAAATCGGATCATGACCAAGATTGGATAATCAATTGGATCCAAACACAACCCTTTAGGTGCATGTAGTAGCAGAGTAAGGATCATCTATACAAATCAAGGAAAACAAAGTTTCGATCTTGAAACAAAACCCAGAATCATGAACAAAATAGACACTCAAGTTAGAGAAATTAGCCCAAGCTTACCTTTGATTACAAGAAACAGACAACAGCAGATCTCCAAAGAAAAGGGTATTTAGTATTTATATTGATGGGTTTGGGGAGCCAGCTTCTTTTGAGGTATATGGGAATTTCCTTTCTGTCAGCCAGTGAAAAAGATCTGACTTTTTCTGCGGTTTTGATTGATGACGATGATGATGATGATGCTGATGATGATGAAGGAATCGGATAACCCAAACAGGCGGGAGACAAAAATTAAGAACTTTCTGGTAATGAGGTGAACAGAGGGTGCAAACAAACAAAACAAAAGCCCGTGTTCCTCTCGCAGAGAGGTGTAATCTAATCTAAAAAGGAAAAGCTGGATCTGGAAGTCTGCTGCTGGTGGGAGGAAGGAACAAGGAAGGAAAGCTAGATTCCCCGACTCTTTTTTTTAGTTCACAATTTTACATCATTGAAGTTTCTAATTTTCTCTTTTGGATGACGAGGTTGCCCTCAATTATTCTATGTGGATGTGGGTGTGCATATGTTGCGCTGGCGGTGCCAATTCGGCTCTTCTTATTTCTGACTTCTGATCATATTCTTGGCCGGTTAGCCTACTTAAATTATAGGCTCTGGCAATATAGTGAAATATCTTCGGAATGACAAATATAACACGAAAAAACGTCGCAAGAGAAATGTCCAACATTCAAATGTATCATTAATTTTAATTTTATATGGTAACTCCATTTTCCTGTGTACTAAAAATATTGATTTTGCGCTAATATTGACTAACATTTTTGGGGTGTCTGGGTCAAGAATTGTATAAATGAGGGATATGGTTCCAAATAGCTCATTCAAGAACTCAGATAATTTATGCATAGATTTGGGTCAAATTACTTGTTTGATAATGGATAGGGATGGCAATGGGTCGCGTCGGGGGCGGATAGTGTATATTCAGTACCCTACTCAAAGGCATTCGAGTTTTACCCATACTCATACCCACATAAGGAACGGGTAGAATATCAAAACCATGCCCATACCTGTTCAGGTTTCGCGTATTCACGGTTATCCATGGATAATAATTTCTCTTTATAACTTCAACCCATTCACACATATTCTCACATTACATAAGCGTAAAAGTACGAGAATAATTCACTAGAATGAAGAAAATTAATTAAAACAACACAATTTCGCGAAAATATTATATTTATATGCTAAATATAAAATATGTTAGAGAAAATTAATGATTATTTCTAGACAAAATACATATAAAATGTGTGGCATTTACCCTTACTTTTTAGGATTAATAGCATTTTGTACCCCCTCTACTATGTTAAATTAACAAACGTACCCCTCTACTAATTTTTTGTACAAACATACACTTCTAATATTAAAACGTAGCGAGTCTACCCTTCCATCCAATTATCCGTTAAGTTACCGTTAAAGGGATGTGAAATTACTCAACTATCCCTCATTTAATTCTAAACATTCCTAATTTCGGTATTGTATTATGTCCCAAATTAAGTAATTAAAAAAATAAAACTCCTAACTGTCGCTTAAGTTTTCCCCACACTCTGACTGAAGCAGTCTTGGCAGATCTTCCTTGGGCCCAACATCTCCTGCTCGCCGCCGCCTTCGTCTTCCGATTTCGACTCCTTCTCCAACTAGTTCGCGCCGTCCACGCTGCGGTGTTCGTCGTCAGCCGGAGGTGGATTCCCTGAGTTTCATGCTCGGTGTCGGCGGAGATATGCGAAGACTGCTTCAGTGACGATGCAGGGTAAACTCAAGCGTCAGTTAAGGGTTTTATTATTTTAATTATTTAATTTTGGACATAAAAAGCTAATACCAAAATTAGGAGTGTTTAGAATTAAATGAGGGGTAGTTGAGTAATTTTACAGTCCATTTAACGGTCACTTAACAAATGATTGGATGGAAGGGTAAACTGGTTACGTTTTAATATTAGAATGGTATGTTAGTGCAAAAATTTAATACAGTGTTACATTTGTTAATTTAGTATAGTAGAGGGGTACAAAATGCTATTAACCCTACTTTTTAGGGGATTGCTATTCGTCGCCCTAAAATTCCTTATTCGTCGCCCTAAATAAATTGATTTTACTCTAAGGCAAAATACACTTGTATAGCTATAACTTTCACGTTTGTGACAAATATAGCCATAACTATCCGAAAACACAAAATAACCAAATTCCGTCCATTTTGTTAACGGTGTCAGTTGACAATATGACTGGACTAACGGAAGATACTGAGTTGGCAATATTTCGTCAATAATAATATGAGGTGGAATTAACTAAAACAATTAAAAATGAAATAATTAGTTTTTTTAAAATTTTCTCTCTCCCCTCTCTTTTCATTCCCTCTGCCGACCACTCTCTTCTCTCTTTCTCGTTCTTCTTTCCTTTCTCCTCCAAAGTCCAAACCTACGAATCCTCCAAATCCGAACTGGACCAAACAGGGGCTTCACCTTCTTCTTCTTCTCTTCGATTTACCCCTCTCCCTCTCATTACTTCTGGAAACTAATGAGGGAAACGAAGATAATACTTTGTCGGCGGCGATTGGAGACGAACCCCGTCAGAGATGAAACTGACGACGATGAGGGGCGACGCCGTTTGACAACAGCGACGTAGGTCAGAGGCGATTTTTTTTATCTTGTGTGTCAATTTCTCTAGGCGGAGGTGGGAGGAAGGGGAAGGGTCACGGCGGCCGTGAGTTGGAGGAAGGGGAAGGTGTTGTTGTTTTTTATTTTATAATTAAATATTTTAAAATAAATATTATATATAATCTACATGTCACGTTATGTGATTTGTCGATAACATGTGCGCTGATTTGGCGTCCTAATCAGCAAATCGCTAACAAAATGGACGACATCTATAACACCGTTAAAGTTTCTAACGGAAATGGCTAGATTTGTTACACTACCATCCAATTTCCTGGCTATTTTGTGTTTTCGGATAGTTATGGCTATATTTGTCACAAACGTGAAAGTTATGGCTATACAAGTGTATTTTGCCTTACTCTAATGGTCTTAGTTCATATTATTGGTTAACTGATCATTATAGTCCATATACTTCTTTGGGTTGGCAAACACATACCTTGATTTTCATATCTAACTAGTGTTGTATTTTCTGATGTTTACCAAATACATCCTCGCATTTCCTTCTCTTCAACACATTCCAAGAATTGGGTTCAAATCTGTAAGTAGAAGCCACAATTTTCCCCCGACCCAAGACGGCGCCGGACAGGTTCCCGTCCCAAGCTCGTCGGCGAACCCGTCATGCCAAAATCACATAAAGAAAAAAAAAAATGGGCACGTTGGCAACATCGGGTCGATGGCGGTCGTCCACTCATCTCTTTCTCGGCAGGGGTCAATAGGAGCAGAAACGACTCCGACCTCATCTTCCTTCTTCGGCCTTCTACTGGTTGACAGTGAGCATGGGAAGCGAATCGGCAGCGACAACAGCTTCAACCTCCTTCCTTCTTCGTCCTCCGTCCACCAGCAGCTATAAAAAAAAACAACAGCAGCGGCTAGGTGGAAGACTGAGGAATGACAACAGCGAGTGAGCAGCGCCACGATCTTCTTCTTCCTCCTTCCTCAGCAACAGTTGTTGGTCGGGCATTGAGGAGTCATAGCAGATCGACGTGCTAGGGGAATGGCCACGGCTGCCAAATCCGGCTAGTGGGATTCTTTGTCTGCAATTGTTTGGTTAGGGATTAGGATAGAAATTGCCTTGAGGGATATTTATGTCAATTTAGTGCGTTTTAGGGCGATAAAATTTGAATTTTAGGGCGACGAATAGCGTTTCAGACTTTTTACTGACAAATTTGAAAAGATCGCAGACCCAAAAAATCCCTAACACAGTACTTCTACATAAGAACATCTTGGGTTTTTTCATAGATTACACACATTTTTTAAAAAAATTCTCAAAATACATACGTTTTATGAAAAACATTCAATCTACACATGTTTGGGCATTACCGCGGCAGACTCAAGCGGTGAATGCATCATCGCGGTCCGCGGTGAAGGCCTGACCTAAGGCTGAAACTTCAAACTAACGTAACTTTGCGCTCGATTATCCGGTCGTAGCGATTTTTCTTTTTGTGTTCCGCAATCCGAATGTAATGAAACTTGTTTTTTATTTTGCATATCTTTTTAAGGAATACAACTTTGATCATAATCATAATTTTGGAATGTATGTGAATTTGTGAAAAGTAAAGGGAAAGTTATTCCCTAAATCCCGTATACCCAAAAATATTTCTTGTTCTGAAATTTCTTTCCTAGTAAAAGTTGTAGTTCTTAAAAAGTTAAGCGCAATAAAAAAAACTTTAAGACTTTCGGATAGAGGAGCACAAAGTTATGGCATTCCAAAGTTTGGCAAAGTCGAAAAATTGCTCGTTCGGGGTAGCAAACAACATTTTTGGGTGATGAAGGCGGGTTGAAGATTGAAAGATCTTGTAAGTTTAGGCGGAATCAATTTTTTGTTGTTGCTATGATCGTATAATCGAGCGTAAAGTTACGTTAGTTTAAACTTTAAAGTTTCAGTCTTAGGTCAGACCTTCACTACGGCCGACAAACGCAGTGAAGCCTTCATTGCGGCTGTCAACCGCGGTGATGCATTCACCGCTTTAGTCTGCCGCGGTGAATGCATTCAGCGCGATTGACGGCCGCGGTGATTCCCAAATATGTGTAGATTGGAAATTTTTCATAAAACGTGTGTATTTTAGGAATTTTCTTTTTAAAATGTGTGTATTTTGTGATTTTTTCCGACCTTCTTCCTCCCTTATCCTCTTATGATGCTAGAATCGTCGAGACAACAAAGACGAAGGCACTACAATCCTGCTCCCAGCTTTTAATACCACAGAGAAGCAAGAAGGAAGCTTAATGAACTGAAACGAGGAGGCAAAGATTTTCAAGTTCTTTCCCTCACTTATGTTTGTGGCTTCTGGGTTTGTCCCAAGCGCAGACAAATTTGATTTATGGGTTTGAGAAGAAGAACGCAAGACCATAAATCGCTTTCCTCATTAGTCGTTGCCAGTCATTGGCGTCCTCATCCAAAACTCTCAACCGTCATTCATCATGCAAAATCCTTAATCCATAATACAAAGGACGGATCACTGGAAGAGAGAGGTTAGAGGAACAACTTGTGGATGCCATGGCCGATTGTCGGAAGAGCGTGGAGTAATGGAAAAAAGAGTAGGGACATATTTGAAACAAATGGATAAATTCGAGCTAATTATAGCCACACAACTTATTACTTAGTAAAAAAGGTCGCTAAAGTTTAATTTTGCACTGGATTGCAAACATGTAGTAGTCAAAATCGTATACAGCTTTGAACGGTAACGATCACCATAATCATCAAACGCAAAGGGGAGTTGCTTGTCATGATTGTTGAGGACTAATGGAAATGTAGTGTGGAAAGGATGGGACTTAGATGAGGATAAGATTTTCTTTTCTTCTGCCCTTCTGCACAACTACGAAATGTGGCTCTATTTAGACTAACAAGTGACAAGTACGGTCTATATCTTTCTTCCATGACAATAAGAAAACAAACAAACGAAAGACATTATAAAAAAAAAAAAAAACAAACAAACAAATGAAAGAATCTGATGATATATGATTCATTTCAATTTTCAGGTCAACAAAGCAATGAGTTGCCCAAAAGCCAGCTTATTACATGAAAAATTGTATAACTATACACTAAACAGACAATGTAAAGTGTAAATCTCTCTAATCTACCTAAGAAAAGCTTGCACTGGAAAAAGGTTCTTAATATGCTCAGGATTCAACCAATCACAAACGTGGCAATAAGCAAGCTAACGACCATGAAAACTGCGTAAAGCCCAACGAGGCAGAACCCCCAGAACCTGGGAACCCGAAACCTCGACCAAGTGACAACGAGCAAAGAACCCATCAGGCTCATCACCAGGAACCCAAACGCCACCACAATACCCATGTGAAACTTGAGCTGATAAGCCTCCGGATACATCTCACCCGTCTGCACAACCAAAGCCGAACCAAGCCCCACCAGCATATTGAACATGGGCCCCGCGAAGCAACCGGCCATCGCCATCGCCGGTTGTCCAGCTCTGGCCACTGCCACATCAGCGACAAGGTCGCCAACTGAGTTCCCCCAGGCGAGCACGGTCAGCCCAAGCAAGGATGGGGCGACCTCGAGGATGGTACCGAGTGCAGCCAAACAGTTTAAGAGCTCTGCAGCGGTGGTGGATATCCAGAACACGCTCATTAGGAATGATAAGAGGACGACAGGGAGTTGCTCGGTTTTCGGGGGTTGGTTTTGCAGGATGAAGTGGAGTAAGGCGAGGGAGGAGGTTGCTAGGAGGGTAATGAACCAGAGTGGGAAGTGGAATGTTGGGAGGAGGAAAGAGATGGGGTGGTTTAAGGGTGTGATTGAGCTGCAAGAGTAGAGAAGGGCTAGTGGGCAGAGCATTATGTTGGCTGATTGGTGGAATCTGTTCCATTTTGATGGTGCTGGTTGAGGGATGGTGAGGTTCAGAAGTAATGTGACAGGGATGTCCCAAAGTTTTGAGATCTGCATATGAAAAAAAAGGGCAACTGTTACATTTAGAAGGTGCCTAAACAGTTCAAACTCTGAATAGAAAAGTTCATAAGATTCTGAAAATCTGCACTGCAATTATACAACACGAAGACTTAGGTTCAACAGTTCAACTTTGGCAACAATAAGGTCCAAATTCTATAAGCTTGGTTCTTGGTAACAGCTTATACTGATAAAGCTACATGGCACAAGAAAATACAGATGACCAAAATGCAATGTTGAATCAACACAACCCAGCATTCAATTATAAAATATAAACATGCAAGGCTCTTATTCATGAAACAAGCAAAGCAAAATTCAACAGTAGTAAAATTTCAACGAACACCAAGAGTTTGCACCCACAAAAGCCAAAAGCAGTTACCTTTCCGAAACCCTTTTCAAGAAATCCAGTCCCATCCTCCTTCAAGCTTCCACCAGTTCCAACTGCCTTTTCACCACTCTCAAAATCCACCAACTCCTCCAATTCTCTGTTCCCGCCGTCTCCTCCTCTACCTCTTCCCCCGCGCTTACCCTTATTCATCCCCAAATCCATCCAAAACACAACCCCAACAAAGAAGAGATAAAACCCAACGAACCCAGCAGCCTGCCAGAAACTGATCTCGCCACTCAAATACACATAGAACAGCGACATAGCCGCAACCAGATAGAACCCTACATCTCTCACAAACGAGCCCGGATCCACACTAAACGGTGCGGCATAGATCGCCACGAACCCAACGACAAACGCCGAAACAAAAGTTCCAGCCGACAGTATCGCCCCGAAGCCCGTCCTGTACTGCCCCGACCTCACAGCCGCGAGAGAGGCGAACACGTCGGGAGCTCCATTGCCGAGAGCCAAGAGAGTGACCCCGCCCATGCTCGGGGAGAGGTTGAGGTGGCCCGCGAGCTTGGTGGTGACGATTGAGAAGTGGGATTGGGCGGTTTTGATGAGAATGTAGAATTGGAGGAGGATGCAGAGGGAGAGAATTGGGACGGAGAAGGTGGATTCGCCATTGAAGAGGCAGAAGTGGATCGCGAGGTAGTTGATGAGGCCGTTTGATGGGGGAAGAGCGGAGCAAGAAATTGGGGGGATTTGGGAGTCATGAGTTTGGGAGAGGAGGGATCTTTGGTGGATTTGGGGAGATGGGTTCGAAGGGGATTGAGGATTTAGTGCGACAAGGAGAATGGTGAAGAGGGTTAGTGCGATTGCTGCGATGGAGTTGAGAATTGGGGGAGATGGCGGGAGAGTGAGAGAGAGGAAGGCCATGCCATTTCAGGGGATTCAATTTCAAAGATGATGCTTTGGCGTTCTTTCGGCTTTTAGTGATTGTGAGAAATGGGACCCAAGATAGTAAAGGAAGCAGCTTTGGTAGCAGCAGTAAGAAAGTATTTGTCGGTTGACGCGTTCTGGCATTCGCAGCACAGGTAGCCAAAGTATCGATTCTTTTTGCTTTGTTGAATCATTTGGCACTTTCCTGGTTAAGGTAGAGTTCTAGCTGCAGAATTATCAGCAAAATGGGTCGCTGCGGTCGAAGGCAGCGATTCGAGATCTGACGTGGGGATTGAGATGGATTGGAACGGTATTTGGGTTGATTCGGACTGGACCAAATTAATACTTCAGTCCAATTTAGCAACAATCAAAAGGAAGCCATGGTCTTCAAGAAAGGTGTTTCAGTTACATTGTAATGTTCTATATACACCAGGCTTTCTGAACAACCAATTCTTTCTTTCGTCAACGTCCATTGCAACAAAGTCCTCAGCTTTCTTCTCCTGATCTTTCAACACTCTACAGGCAGGCATCCAAAAACATGTCACTGTTCATCCCTAATATTTTCTTGCAGAGCATCAACAATTGCCTCGATCGAAGTGGCTGTTTTGCGTCGTCCTCTCCTCTTCCGGTCTTCCCCATGGCGCTGTGGGACTTGTTGCGCAACTCTGGTAATGTTGCTGCAGATATTCTTCTCTTCTCCTCTTCTCAGATCAGAGATTTTAAGTTCCCCATCGCATATACTGAATCATCAGAGCCACCATTGATCTCAGTGTCTAGGGTATCATGAGCATAAAACAAGCATTATAACTTGGCAGCGTTCTGTATTTGTATTTTATTGCAGATGGATGGTCCTGTAAGTAGACAAAAAAGGAAATCCTGAATTAAAATTCCAACATACAGGTACAGTATTATGAAAGGTCCTTTCAGCAAGAGTGAGCGACAAAGTTTCATCTAGGGGTGGGCATGATTCGGTCCAGTCATTTGAATTACCACTCCATCTACAATGGATTGGATCTCCAAATATCAAGAACAAGTCATTGATGTTTGGCAAAGCCTTAGAGCAGTATGATTGTGCACCTGGGTATTGCTGCACCAAGTCAAATGGTGTATACGATTGCTCCGGTAGATAACTGTTTATTTTGTCAGAAAATCTAAATAGCCAAAATGGGCACCTGAAGACAAGCATTCCACAGACAGTCCTCAGCTCTTATCCCTTCTTGAATTTCGTCCCAGGAAAAACCACCCTGATCAAGTAGTAGTTTCATACCATTGAATTGCTTCCCCAGATATACAAACCGACTTTTCAAGACATCTTTGTTATGACAAGGGCCAATCTCAGCAGTGAACTTCTTGACCATGTAGCTTCCATGCTAGATTACTAAAATTCCGACAGGACATACTTCCATGTCGAACGTGCACCAGCATCAAATCGATAAAAAAAAAATCAACCCATATCAGGGGGTGTAATCAACAGCGCGGGAACCACCAAGTTTGGTTTCTAGGAAAAATTCCAGCAGAGAGAATAGTCGGGAGGATTCAAATTTGTAACTGTCCCTTCATTCCAGCAGCAACGATATCGATATATTTTTATTCCAAAGATTACAGGCCATTTGTTAAAATACAACATGGAAATAGGAAAAGGAACACCCCCTTAAATTCCAAGGGCAATCCACCCACCCCCAAACGTCTAGTGTATAAACTGTATATGCAAATTAGGGGCTATGAACCCCAAAAGCTTCTATGTTACAGCTTGCTCTCTATGCCAAAAAATGGACAACACTTCAAAGGGGAGAAGAATGATGAATGGGAGGCTTGAGAGATATCTTGCCTGTCTTTTGTCAAACCAGGATCCATATGGCGATAAGCCACACAGGCCAGTTTGGATTGAGAATACTGTGTCAATTCTTTCACTACCCTGACAAACCATCATTGTGGCAGCTGGCAGGGGCGCAACTTTGGCTCGAGCCCCTCACCCACGGTGCTGCATACATATATGACTGCTTTCAGTAGTTGGTCTCTGCTAAAGAGACAGTAGAACAATGATCTCCATGAGTGCTCAGCTGAACCGCTGCATCTTTCATCGTCATCCAACGTGCAAGCGAGGAAGATTTGGCGCATTGCAACTAATCAAATTAGCCCATAGGTTTGCAAGCTTGACCAAGTAATGGCTCCCATTCCAGACAACGGTTTCCATCCCTGTTCAAAGACAACAAGATGGTTAAACAGACTGTGGCAAACACTTGTAAGAACAAATTAGCAATCTCAGCTTGGAAACTCAAATGATTGAAGTCTCCAACTTTAATCTTTAGTAGCTTAATCCTAGAATATGCACGAAGTCGGTGCTTACCCGGTACTACTGCTGGATTAAGACCTGAGAGTTGACAGGTGTAGCCTTGTCTGGAGAAAACAATCTCGTAAAGTGCATCATCCTCGAGATTACGAAGATGCTGAATGGATTCCAGTAATGCCTTGACAGAACCATCAGAAATGCTTAAGAGAGCTTCTTCCAGTCCCGAGCTTGACCATAGAGCAGAACACTCGCTCATCATGGTGTTGAAGGATACGGAGTCGGTCTGTTCCAGCAATATCCATGGCTTATAAAGCCTGGCAGCGCATCGAAGAATTTCAGAAACTCTGTAAATTTCCCCAAGAGCAAGGAAATATCTTTTTCCTGTATTAGAGAAAAGAATTTTGAGTACTCTGCAACAATCATTGAATTGAGTTCCATACAAATGATTGTTATTATACCTTCAAAGCTTGTGAGAACTTGATCTTGGATGTTTTCTTGCAGCAAGTGGCTCCAAATCATTGAACCGTGTTTCAGCTCTTCAGCACATTGACAGAGCATCTTAGACCATGTGCAAATGTAGCTCGTTTGTTCCTGCCTGGATACTAACGTCAAAATCTTTAACAATGAAACCGCCTTCTTGAGAAGTAGGAGTGTAGATTTTGAGTCGTTATGAACCTATCAGAAGATTGAAATAATAGTTTAGACCAGTCAAACACAACCAAACTTTAGCTGGTAAAAGAGACCTTCAACCTTCTAGAAACAAAAGAAAGGGACTGCCGCTTGCTTCATAACCACGTCGAGCTATACCATATTGTTTCTGTGTGATATCAAATTTATTCTTCGCCAAGGATAAGTATGCTGATATTCTAAATCTAACATTAACTGTCCTTTTAAAGAATGAGTGTTAGTATTGTGACGCACCTGCGACACTTTTTCTGATAACTGATATTCTAACTCGATTACTTGAAACTTTGGTTGCTGCAACATTTCAAACAATTCACTTGTTCGAATTTCATATAGCAACTGATCTCCTGAATGAACTTCAGCAATAGGGCTGCATTCACGCAGTCCATTATGCATATCCTACAATAGCATAGAGAATACAAAAGTTACTTTCGAATTGTATTGCCATGTCCACCCCATGCAGGACTTGAATAAAAAGGTAAAAGAGCAACATAGAAGGAAGAAAAGGATAACAACAAATGCTCCCAAACCACAGCAATCTCTCATCAATTCGTTGCTATTTAATCTATCACTGAACTAGAGATGCCACCAACCTGTATTTCCTTATCTAGGTGGCTTACATCAGCATCCTCACCAGCAAGAGCTGCAGCAGTACGAGCTTGCTAAGAAAAATTCAAACCCATTGTAAGTAATCCTTCAAAAGAGAAGAGTTTGATTTCTTAGAGGCGAGGGTGTTTGGATACATTTAGCAAGTCCACCAACCTTCATATTTTCAACATGTTTGAATGCAACAAGACATAATTCTTCCATCAGTTTGGTAAATAAGTCTATCCAATCAGAATGCTCTATGTTACTGGCCTCAATTGTAGAATCTTTGGGGAAAGATTGTTGCTCCTCATCCATGGGTACTGCAGAGGCATCTTTGAACTCCCAGGAATAATCGTCGTCCAGAATTGCAGCATCATTTGATGAATTGGAAGCAAATGCAATTTCTGTGGGGCACCATCCATTTTCATCCTGATTCTGTAAGTGACTGGCAGTAGCCGTTTGCTCAACTTCATTGTACAAACTTGATACCAGATCATTAATAGAGAGACTGGAACTAAGACCCCTATTGTCCTCTCTTGTTTCTGGAGCAGAAATCTGAACCGAAGTGACTTCATAAAAAACGGGATCATTGGGCTCTGTTTCTTCATCACCAAAAAGTGACAGAGGCAACGCTCCGTTATTGTCGCTACCCCTTATTTCAATAGCCTATGATCAAAAGGGAACGAGTGTCACCAGAAAGAATAGATCTTATGAAGTCAAAATATCAAAGACACTTCAAATATTAATCTCTTTCCTCCTAGTCTGAACATGAAACCAAATATACAACAAAAGAATTCCGATTTCAGGGTGAAATAGACGAAACAAAGTCCAGAGATATAAAGCTCATTGAGGAGACCAAAAGTTAAACTGGAATCAGTTAATAGTTTTTTGCTTTACAATTCAGGTAGATAAAACAGATGTAGTATGTTAAACAAGAAAAAAAAATTCAACTAAAGCTTTCCTTTTACCTTACTACTCAAATCAATGGGCGTTGATTCTGATTCTGCAACCTTGAATTCCCAGTCATCCTCACCCTCATCCTCGGTTTCAGTAATTATAGTTGGGTTCAACTGTTTTGTATCTGAAATCTCTTCTTTTGCATCCCAATCAGTAGCATACAGATTTGGACTTCCACCACCACCACCATCCAAGTTGGAAATATTCAGACTTGAATCAAATACAGTAAATTGCAATTTTGGGCCATTTTCCATTTTCCCCGCGGCACCCTTAACAAATTGAGTGACAATTATAGTCAGAAATGAAAAAACTTATCTTTCTTGTAGCTTGATCGGAATGCACGATAGTAAAAAATAAAGGCAGGAAGTCAAATAGCAAAAACAATTAATACCTTGTTATACTAATATCTATTATTTGATAGCTGACCAGTCAACTACTTTAATGAGGAGCAGCAACAATAGTGTTTGCAGAAACAAGATTTTTTTATATGGATTCAGATACACTGACATTTTTGCTTCTCCTATTATGGTGTTACATTTAGTCATGATGTTAACAAATCCAGGTTACAAAATTTAATTGACGGACAGACAGACAGAACAGAATCAATTGATTTTATAGAATCACACATTTAACTAGCATCTCCAACTTACTTGCAAGTCTGATTCTGCTTTCATGAAGGCCCAACCATCCGAATCAGCAAATCCATCATTCTCAGGCAATAATCCAGGATTCACACGTATCACATCTGCGTTCACTCCACCTAAGCTTGAATTAAAGCCATTAGAATCTGGATGCTGCAGTAGATCCCAAATTAAAATTAGAGCTCTTAAGATTCATCTTTGAAACATCCTCAGATATTGAATCAACGTTCTGAAATTTCCCATAAAACAGCTAATATAACCCAGGTTTCAAAGAACAAAGTATTCTAATTTCCATGCAATCCCAAATAGACAAATCTAAAGGGAAAAACTAGTGCAGCAAATCATAATGAGACCCAAGCAAGCAGGATTCATCGAGGAAAGAGAGTGTCGAATGGGGTCGAGAAAAACAATCTACCTTGATTTTCTTGGTTGGGACACCTGCAACAACAATGCCCCAGGCATCATTGCTAGAAAGCTCTTTCACTTCACTAACTTGGCCATTATTCAACCAATTGTCACTCTGATCAACTCTATTCGCACTCGTATTCCATCCAGAAAAGTCCAAATTCGCCCCATTCAAACTAGAGCTCAGCTCACTGGGATGAAAATTCAGCCCATTCTGATTCTTCATCTGCTCTGGCTGTCGTCGATTCACAGAGACATACACATCAAAACATATGGAAGATAAATAAAAGTGGCAACCTTTTTCCTATCTACAGAAAACAAACGATGAAACCAATGCCTGAAATCTATCAGTACTATTAACCTATATAAACCAGAACTGCAGGCTAGACACGTCAAAAAGGAATATGAATGTTCAGGAAAAAAACAACTCGGGGATATATTCAAGTTACCTTAACATTATTTTCCACTTTGGATTCAGCGGCCTTAAATTCCCAACCATCATCATCTCCTTCTTCATCAAACCCTCCATTACCATTCGCCGGATTTGAACCATTGCTCATCGCATCTGAGCCCAAATTCGACCCTTGCACAACCGAACCAGACAAATTGCCGTTCAATTTCCACCCATTTGAATTCAAATTCAACGGATCCGAGTCCGTGCTC